TTTTTTTTTTTTTTTTTTTTTCCCCCAGCCGGATTCCGGGAGGAGCCGGAATGCCGAAGGATGGACGAGCTCGTTAGCGCCGGGGGTTAATTAGGTGTTAATGAGCGGGGTTACCGCCTTCCTCCTCCTCTTCCTCCTCCTCGTGGCACATCCCGGAGGGAAATTTGGGAATTTGGGACTGACGTCAGGGAATTCCTGGATTTGGGAATTTCGAGGATCCCAAAACCTTTGGGGTGGGGCCGTTCCCGATGGATTCTCCTCTGGAATTCCAGCAATGCGGGAGAGCAGCGGCTCCGTCCCCTCCTTCCTCCCCCAAACCCACCAGAAAAACCCCAGGAATTTTTGTCCTAAAAAGGTGTTTTTTCTCCCGTTAAAAACCAGAAAATATTCCCCAAAAACAGGTGTTTTCCCTTCCGTTAAAAACCAGAAAATATTCCCCAAAACAGGTGTTTTCCCTCCCGTTAAAAACCAGAAATTTTTGCCCTAAACAGGTGTTTCGTCTCGTAAAAAAACCAGATTTTTTTTTGCCCTAAACAAGTGTTTTTCCTCCCATTAAAACCTAACAATTTTTGCCCTAAACAGGTGTTTTACCTTCCAATAAAAACCAGGATTTTTTGCCCTAAACAGATGTTTTTCCTCCCATAAAACCCCAGGAATTTTTGTCCTAAACAGGTGTTTTGTCTCTCATTAAAAAAACACAGATTTTTTTTTTTCCCTAAACAGGTGTTTTTCCTCCCAACACAAACCAGGATTTTTTGCCCTAAACAGGTGTTTTTTCTCCAATAAAAACCAGATTTTTTTTCCCTAAACAGGTGTTTTTCCTCCAGTAAAATCCAGATTTTTTTTTCCCTAAACAGCTGCTTTTCCTCCCAACACAAACCAGGATTTTTTTGCCCTAAACAGGTGTTTATTTTCTCAGTAATAATAAGATTTTTTTTTTTTGCCCTAAACGCTTTTTTTTTTCCTCTCATTTCCCCATTTTTTGGGCGTTTCCATCCCTTGCCAGCTCCTTCCCCCCTTCCCGGCACAGAAACCTCAGAACATTTCAGATTTGGGAGCGATTTTTAGGGAAAAAAAATTAAAAAAAAAATCGAAAAAAAATTTTAAAAAAATTCAAAAAAAATCCCAAATCAGCCCCACTCAGGCCGGAACAGGTTTTAACCTGGAAAAATCTTAAATTCCAAATTTTTTTTTTTTTTTTTTTTTTGGGGTTGCTGCCCCCGGCTCAGGCGTTGCCGAATTTTGGAATGTGCCAACGCCCCTGAGCCACCTGAGGCAAAAATCCCGCCCCAAAATCCGAATTTCTGAGCCCAAAACCAGCCCCGGGCAGCTGCCAGGATCCTGCCTGAAATGTATTCCCCCCACCCAAAAAAAAATAAAATAAAAAAAAAATTAAAAAAAATCCCAATAAGGGCAAGGAATGAGGAGAATTCAGCGCTCGGGGCCTCCCCCGGGAGAGGCAAACAGAAAACATTAAAAAAAAAATAAAAAAAATTAAATAAATAAAAAATAAAAACAGCAAAAACATTCCAGGGGGAGGAGAAAAGCCGGGAATGGGACAAGGGGGGGTGGCAAAAAAAATCCTCATTTCTGCTCCTCCTTCCTGGTATTTCAGATTTTTTTTAATTTTTAGGGATTTTTTTACTGAATTGAATTTTTTTAATTGAATTTTTAGTGGTTTTTTTTCCCAAATTTTGCCATTTTTTCCCCATTTCTCCACCATTTCCCACCATCTTTTTTTTTTCGTTCCTGCCATTTCTAATCATTCCTCCCCATTTTTTAATCCCATTTCCTGATTTATTTATTTTTTTTTTGCTCACTTCCTGACTTTTTTTTTATTACTTTGCTCCAGTTTTTTTTTTTTTTTTTTTTTTTTGGCATTCTCCCAATTTTTCTGGTCGTTTTCCCCATTTTTTTGGGGAACTTTTCCTGGTGGTTTTTCAGAATTTCTGGCTCATTTCCCTGCTCGTTTTCCCATTTTTTTCCTCATTTTCCCCGAATTTTTGGTAATTCTCCCATGCCTAATTAATTTCCCACATTTTTCCTCGTTTCCTCTGATTTCTGGGTGACTTTTCCTCATTTTTTCCATCATTTTTTCCTGGTTTTTCCCAGATTTTTTTGTGAATTTTGGGTCATTTTTCCTCCTTTTTTCCCCCTTTTTCCCCCTTTCTCTTCCTGCCGGACAAGCGGCGCCTCGTTAATTATGTTAATTATGCAAATGCTCTTAATTAACCCCCGCTAACGAGCCCGGTGGGAACGCCTGGATGGGTTTTTTATTCCCTCTGGAATTTTCTTTCAGCTCCGCCGAATTTAACGGGAATTTGGGGATGTGGGAGCGAATTTAATTCCTGCTTTAACCAAGGGGTTCCTCGACCACCTCAAATCCCAAATTTCGGGGCCAAAAACCCCAAATCCCACCTGGAATTCTCCCAAAAATGAGGAATTCCGCGAGGAATCTCAAGAAAAAAATCCGGATTTGTGGGGTTTTTTTTTGTTTTTTTGGTTTTTTTTTTAGGGGAGGGGATAAATCCCTGAGGATCTCCCGGAAAAAAATTCCCGAGGAAATGACCCAGGGCAGGATTCCCAGTGGCCATAATTGAGGATTTTCCCTTTCAAAAAAATTGGGAATATCCCTTGGGATCCTTCCCAGCCTCTCCCCGAGGGATTGTCCAGCATCAAATTGAGCTTAAAACAGCAAAAAAAAAAAGGAAAAAAAAGCAATTTCCAGCCCTGAAATTCCGGGATTTGGGGCTGGGGGAGTGCAAGGGGCTGGAAATTCGGTGTTTTCCCATTTTCTGGGGT